CTGTCCCCATCCCTGTGCCCCTCCCTGTGCCCATCCCTGGCCCTGTCCCCATCCCTGTGCCCCTCCCTGTCCCCATCCCTGTGCCCCTCCCTGTGCCCGTCCCTGGCCCTGTGCCCCTCCCTGTGCCCATCCCTGTGCCCCTCCCTGGCCCTGTCCCCATCCCTGTCCCCATCCCTGTGCCCCTCCCTGTGCCCGTCCCTGGCCCTGTCCTCATCCCTGTGCCCGTCCCTGGCCCTGTCCCCATCCCTGTCCCCATCTCTGTGCCCATCCCTGTGCCCGTCCCTGGCCCTGTCCCCATCCTTGTGCCCCTCCCTGTGCCCGTCCCTGGCCCTGTGCCCATCCCTGTCCCCATCCTCATCCCCGTCCCCATCCCTGTCCCCGTTCTTGTCCCAATCCCTGTCGGTGCCACGGCCCAAAGGGGCAAAGGGAAAGGAGGAGAGAACGGGGAGGGATTGGCACCGTGGGCACAGGGAGGGTCCCCACCGGGCTGAGGGGTGCCAACACACCCTGCTGTGCCCAGCTGGGGTGGGGACCAGCCCCGCTCAGCCCAGCCCGGCTCTGCTGTAACATTTAACTTGTCGTAGTCTGTGATCCTGAAAAGCTGAAATTAATGACAGCCTTGCAGTTGCTCATTAATAATTGCTTCATTACTGTACGCAGTTGCAGCCTCCTGACAATAATGGGGTTTGCTGGTGTATTTCTAATTATCTGGCATTTCAGCTCCCTAATAGAGTCCCGGTGCTCCCTGACGAGACCTCTCTCTCCAGCAGGAGCTCAGCCCAGCCCGCTCGGCCCAGCCTGCTCCTTCACCTGCAGCTCCTGGGAATGGCTGAGCCGCCCTGGAGGGGCCCACGCAGGACCTGGGGGCACTGAGACCCTCCAGGCCTGGGCTGAGCTCTCCCCATCCCCGTGGCACACCTGGGGCTCTGCTGAGGGCGGACTGGGAGCAGCGACATCGTGAGAGGAGCTGGGAGCTCCAGTGCCCTGAGCAGGTACGTGCCAGTGGCTGGCAGTGCTCAGCGTGCCCACACCATGGCCATCCCCATGGCCACACCATGGCCATCCCTGTGCCCACACCATGGCTGTCCCCATGGCCACACCACGGCCATCCCCATGGCCACACCATGGCCATCCCTGTGCCCACACCATGGCTGTCCCCATGGCCACACCACGGCTGTCCCCATGGCCACACCACACCATCCCCATGGCCACACCATGGCCATCCCTGTGCCCACACCATGGCTGTCCCCATGGCCACACCATGGCTGTCCCCATGGCCATGCCATGGCTGTCCCCATGGCCACACCACATCATTCCCATGGCCACACCACGGCTGTCCCCATGGCCACACCATGGCTGTCCCCATGGCCACACCACATCATTCCCATGGCCACACCATGGCTGTCCCCATGGCCACATCATGGCTGTCCCCATGGCCACACCACACCCATCCCCATGGCCACACCATATCCATCCCCACAGCCTCACCACAGCTGTCCCCATGGCCCTGGCACCCCAGCAGCCCTGGCACCCCAGCAGCCCTGGCCCTGTCCCTGGGCTGTGCTCCAGCCCGGGTGAGCAGAGCAGAAGGAGGTGCCAGAGCTCGGAGGGTGCTGGGGCTGGGCCAGGCTGTGGCTGTGGAGTGGAATTCCAGCTCCTGGCAGCAATCCGCCCTGCAGTGGTGGCAGCGGCAGTGGCGGGGGAATCGTGGCCGTGTCCCCACGCTCCCAGCCTGGAAATGACCACTTGTGCCCCATTCCAGCCCTGCCACCAGCTCCCAGCCCATTACGGCACACGCGGGCCCCGCGCTCCCACCTGGGCAGGGGGCTCATTTGTAGTTAAAAATCTATTGTGACTTGTCAGAAAAATGAATAAATGAGCACATTATTTTTTCATTTTGGAGCTCAGCATCTGTTTGTCTAATCAAGAAAGAGAACTGGGAAAGTCAACCAGGGCTGACGCACACATTTTATTTAACTTTTCCTCTGTCAAAGGAGTTTAAATGTGTAATGAACAGGCCATGGTGATTTGAAATATAATCCCATTACTCTGATGAGATTACCCAGGCTGTGAGAGTTCACAAATCATGCTTAGGGTTTTTAGAGTGAACAACACCCTGTTGAGATTTTTTTCCCTTTTTGCATTTAAGCAGAGGTGTGTGGGGAGAATAAAACATGACAGTGCTTAACCCTTCACGCAGAGGAGCAGCAGCAGGGGCTGTGCCAGGGCCAGCCCTCCTTGTGCCCAGTTCTTGGTGACCCTGAGCTCTCCATGGTCACGGCAGCGATGCAGGGAGCACACCTGGCCAGGGCACGCTCCTGCTGGCCCAGCTGTGCTCCTGTGCCCTCTGTGTCCCTGTTGTCTGTGTCCTTGTCCCAGTGCTGCTCGGGGTGGCTGTGCTGGCTGTGATTTAAGGGGCATTAATTTCAGCTGCACAGCAGCACCCAGCCCCACCCGCCGCCACAGCAGCGCATTTCCATGGATTCATGGGCCCATTACAAACATGTCTCCATAAATAACTCCCCCCATTAATCTCAGGGCTGCACCCACGGCTGTGCCATGGGTTTCGCTTGCTTGTCCTGGTGCCAGGTCTCAGCCCCCCCTGAGGGGCAGCAGCAAAACCCAGGGATGCACCAGACTCCTGCCAACCCAAAACCAAAGGTAATTCTGGCTGGAATCGGTGCTTTGGGAGCTCCTGGCAAAGCCCTGCAGAGCCCAGGGAGAGCACCCAGCGCTCTGCCCTTGGGTGCCAGCTCGTGCCAGGGTGCCCTGGGTGTCCCCTGCTCAAAGGTCTCTCTCTGGTGCTCTCCTGTGCTCTGACAGAGCCGAGGAGGTGGAGGGGAATTGTCCCTGTGGACAGGAGCCCTGTGCCAGCAGGAGTCAGGGGGAACGAGGGGATCTCTGGTGCCTGCAGCAGCTGCCTGCGTGCGCAGGGGAGCCGCGCTCTGCTCTCTGGTAGCAGGATGGGGGAACAGCTTGCCTTGCTGACCCAGTTGAATGCCCATCTGACTCAATTACATCTACAGCTACCGGGGAAAGACCAGCCCGCGATGGCTCCGTGCTCAGCTGTGCACACTCTGCAGCCACGAGCCTGATTTAACTCCTTCGGGGCGCTGGGCAGCAGCAATGCCTCTGCTGGGGAGGGACGCTCAGCTCCTGGAAAGCTGCACCTTTCCAGGGTTTAAGGAAGGTTTCCTGCGGGCCATGTATTAAACTGAATCTGACCTTTGGAAGCAAATTGGTCGGTGGCTCTTTTGGAGCAAATAAACTCACTTTGGGCTCCAAATCTCCCTGCTCCTCACCCAGCCTTGGAGCAGCCTCTGTCTGTCCATCTCTGCCTGGGTCTCAGGACACCCACACCAGGAGCAGGAAGGCGACTGGCAGGAGGCTGTGAGCACAGCTGGTCTGGGCAAGGGACTCTGCCACAATGTCACGGACAGCAGAGGTGTTATTGGGTGACATTTTTAGGCTCTCCTGAGAGCAAACTTGCACATGCTGAATCCCTGCTGATCTGATAACAAATACACGTGAGGGGGTGGCAACAGCACTATGGCCATGGAAACAGGAGATTGCTGAAGATTATGGTACCAAATAGGCAATTTTTCAGTTCAGTTAAAAAGAATTGAAACTGGGTGGCCAAAGAACATTCACAGAGCAACTTTAATGTTAAATATTTCACAGAGTCGGTTAAAAGAGTCATTTACATCGAAGGGGCTTTTCCCATTGTATCTGTGCTGCATTTGCACATAGAAAATATTAAAAAAATTAATAGAATACTATAAAATATTGTTTCTCTTGTTTTGCAGATATCACGGAAGACTGTACAGGGAGGCCTGGCCTCGGTGGTGCAGGGCCAAGCAAACCCAGAACAGAAACACAACAGGTGAGACCCAGGCCCTCCCTCTGCCCGGGGCTGCCCCGCGCTGTGTTAAGGCTCAGGAAGTTTTCTCTGTACAAAAGCAAGGTGGGAGGCTGGCAGAGGGTGGGCAGAGCCCAGGGAGCTGCCCCCAGCCCCGTGGGGCACCAGGGCAGTTCTAGGATAGCGTGTGCAGAGCTCCAGTGAGCTGGAGAAAGACACCTCTGGTGAATTCAACCAACAATGCGGCTCTGGGTGCCAGCATCCATTCCCGTGGTCCCTGATGTGTTAAGGATGAACAAGGCCAAGGTAGTTACAAATCCCAGTACAAAGTAGGTCTTAATTTTTGTTGTTAAAGAATAATATTGAGAGAAGTGAAGGCATTTCTGAGTGCCCAGGGACAAGGTGCCCCAGCGGATGTGCCAGCCCCAGGGTGGCAGCAGCTGAGGGTCCCGGGCAGGAGGATTCTCCTCTCCACCTCCAAGATGTGGATCTCCAACCACCGTGCTGCCTTCAGCAAGGAACTTCCAATAAAGCATTTGCAAAGCTGAAAAGCACAGTTAAATAAAATATTTTTGAACAAAACAAACACAACAGACTGGACTGTCTCAGGGCTCCCTCGCTAAGCGCTCCCCTGCCACGGCTGCTGTTCCTGGCTCACGGATGCCTCCTGCACTTCAGCAACAGAAGTGAAGCCATCTGGGACTGCAGCCTCCCCCCAAAAGAACTGTGCATCATATGGACCTTGAAAAAGATTACATCTGTTTATTAATAGTAAAAATGGATACATTTGTCCTACATTTTGTTTTTAGAAATTTGATCATGTCACAAGCAATACCTGCGTGTACGTGGGTGGATTACAGATGTATATAATTTATTTTAACCAGGCTGTGAAATAATATGTAATCACATCTCTTCTCGTGATTGTACATAACACAGTAATTAAATGATGCCAGTCTACGTCATTCTCTTATTTCTAATCAAAGGAACCTGAAGCGTAACAGTCTTCTTTCCGGCTGATATGGCTCTTTGTGTCTGTCGCAGGGGAGCTCCCCGCGCCGAGGAGGGCCGGCCCGGCACCGCGAGGGACGGGAGGCCCGCGCTCCAGGAGCGGCGGCCCCGGGCCCGGGCGGGCGGAGCGGCTCCAGCGCCGCGCGCAGCTCTGCCCGCTCACTGCTGCCCCGACTTCTTCTCCTTCTGGAAGCTAAAGCTCGTTCTCCTGCTCAGCTTTCTTTGTTTCTGAGCGAAATAGTCTGCTCTGGCTGTGCTTGCTCGCGACTCTAGAATATAGTTAACCTGCAAGACACCAGTGGTGTTAATGTCACCTGGGGAGGCTGGGGACAGCCCGGGGTGGGCAGGGACCCCCAGCCCACCCCCTCAGCAGGGTGATGGCACAGGGAGCCCAGAGGGCCAGCAGAGCCCTGGGCTGTCCTCCGGTGCCACCCTGGGCCACCCAAACCTCTGGGGAGGGCAGGGAGCTGTGCAGACCCCCCAGTGCTGGCACAACCAGCAATGAGCATCAATAAAGGACCTTATCAGCCTCAGTAAAAAGAATTCTTCCATTATGATGTTTGCATACTCAGCTAATCTCAGAGTTTCCCTCTGTTTTGGCACATTTTACTTGATGAAAGCATTTTAAAATGATATTTAACAAGCCTGCTACTCCCTAAATTTATTATCTCCAATGCTTTGTGATAATCTTAGAGATAATTTTAATGGAAGGTTAATGCAAGAATCAAAAAGATAAAAATGCCCTTTGGTCTGTCATTAGCTGGTTAATATGCTGTGGCTTAAAACTTGCACAATTTTATGCACTATAGAGTGTTTCACTTTCATTGCATATTACAGCTTAAGGCATAAAAATATAGGGAATTTTCATGGTCAATAAAGTCTCAGTCCTTCTCACTTGATCATCTAAAAAGCCTAATTTGAAAAGTCTGATTTTTCTGCGCTCCCTAATGCTGATGGAATTGAAAACAAAACAGTGACTTGTGCATGAAACCAGAGAATGTTCTATATAAACAAACTGCAACTTGGGGAAAAAAGTACTGCTCAATATTATTTCTCTCTCGAATATTCATGTTATTGACAGTAAACCACTTTTTTAGCCTTTGTTTATGACCAGACTGGGATGAGTGGAAGGGGGAGATGTGGCATGGGGGTACTTGGGCAAAGGTTGGACTTGATGACCTTGGGGGTCTTTTCCAGCCTTAATGATTCTATGATTCCATGATTCTAAGTGCTTGGGACTGCAATAGCTGATCTAAGGTAAAGTGGGACCAGAAGAATTGGCCTAACAGCTCACAGAGCAGAAACCCCTCAAACACTCTGACCTCCTGTGTGATGAATAAAAGTTATTTTATCGCACGTCAGTTGTTTAACAATCCTCTAAACTCCACACAGCCAATAAAAGCAAACATAACAGATGGTTTGCCAAAATTACTGCTTTTGAGTTTTGACTTGCTACGAAAGATGAACTTGTGGAAAATTCCATTTAATTTTTCAAGAGTGTAACAAAAATTTGTTTCCCAAAGCAAGGGAGTTTGTGTCTATGTTTGCCCCGAGGAAAGCAAACAGTCCAGGGAGAGGATCAGGTAGAGAAGCCCCTGTGAGCAGTGTGGGGACACCAGAGCTGTGAGGGCCAGGAGCACCAAGCCCTGCACGGCACGGGGCTGCTGACCACGTGTCCAAAGGTGGAAACTACCTGGACACAATAAAATCTGGTAGTTTCCAATAAAATTCCACAGAAAATGGTGTCTCTATTAACTAGAAAAAAGCACAAAAGGAAATGCTACACACAGACAGGCAGTGGCTGCGTGGCTGTTGGAAGGATGAATAAAACAACAGGCATGGAGCAGCCATCCTGACGGGTTAAACACACCCCAGTGGTCCTCAGGCACTGCACCCTCGTGTGCTTCCAGAGCCTCCTGAATACTCACATGTCTAACAAGTGGTAAAACACCCGGATTTTGGGTCACGTTAAAATTTAATACTCACCTTCAGTACGATTTCATTGACAGTAGCAGCATCTGATTCAAAGTAAAGGTGTTTGTAGTCATGATTGCTTAGATATGTAAGTTTAAATATTGCATGACCTGCAAAGATAAGAAAAAAACTGCTTAGAATATTCCTGTAAAGTTTGAGCAGAGCTCGTTGCCTGACAGAAGAAAACCACAGATGGTGATCTCAGCGTACCATCAGCACGACAGAAGGAAGCAATGAAATGCTGACAGGCTTCTCATGTCATTTCAATTTAAGGCAAGTGGTGGCTTACAGGAGCAGCTGAACTCCAGTCAATAAAGTTCCTTTTCCCATCACATCCCCACTGCAGGAAATGCAAAAATCCATCAAATGGCTGGTTAGCTCTGCTCGGCCGCGACGGCGCTGCAGCCCCGGCACCGCGACGGGGCTGAGCGTGGGAGGAGGGTTGTACTGAACAGAAAATGGCAATTAATCCCAGAGCCAGCACTCCAAACCCTCCTCCCAAAACACCCCAAACACCACGTGAGCCCAGCCAGCTGCTGGTGACCACGGGAGCGGCACCAAGCACAGGGCACCGAGGGACGCGGCTGTGCCACCACCAACCCCGCTCAGGGCTGGGATGGCCCTTCCCACACCAAGGAAAATCAAATTAAACTCTAACTGTGACCTGCTGGCACCTTCCTGGCACTCGGGCCTCTGTCCCAAACAGAGGTTCCACGTGCTGGCCCTGTGGCTGCCCTGGGATGGCAGCCCTGCATTCCGACATGCAGTGCCAGCAGGAACGACTTAGACACAAAGGTCTGACGTGGAACACAAAGGAAGGCAAAAATATCCTTCACTTGTATGGATGCTGATGGCTTCAAAATTAAAATTAAATGTATTCTATACATGATACTTTTCCAACGGTTTTCTAATTTATTCTGTTCAACAGTCAAAGTTAGCAATCCATAAAGTAACAGCCACATTACTGTAAATCCAGGTCTTTCCTGCAGGAAAGCTAATTGGAAATCTTATTTACATTATCTAATTCTCCAGATTTCCAAAAAGTGACTGATATATGCTCAGATTGGTGGCCAGGAAATTTGAGATGCAAGTATTTTATTGTGGCATGTTAATTAAACACCATTATGATGCACTAATCTGGAATATAAATTCTGTATTGAAAAATTGGCTAATAATAATAATAAAAACCCAACCCTTTAAATCATTTGACAAATGATGCCTCAGTGGTACTAAAAATGCGGAATTCCAAGCTGGGAGCTCATCAGCATGTTAATGCATGCAGCTTTGCCTGGAACACAGCATCTTAATGATTCCAAAAGTGCCAGTGCACCACCCTGGGGCTGGGACACAGCACCGTGCTCCACCAGCTCCCACCACTCTCCTTGGACATTGAACATCCCACACTGCTGATCAGAAATTGGCACAAAACAGGGTCAGAGGACCCCAATGAGCTGCTGCATTTTGGGGTTAGGAAATTCTGGGTAATTCTTGCTGTGGATCAAGACCAAACCTCTCCAGGTGTTCCTGCTCCCGGGGATCCCAGCCCGGCCCTGTGCCGCGGTGCCACCACGTGTCCCCGGGGCACCGCCCTGCCCAGCACAGCCCTGCCAAGGGCACAGCTCCTGCTCCCCCGGGCACAGAGGCTGCTCTGGGCCTGCCCAGCAGGCCACTGGCACAGCGTGGCTCTGCAGGGGCCCTGGCACCGATGCCAAACCCTGCAGAGCTCACAGCCCCTGCTGCCGGGACTGGGGACCCAGTGGAAAGAAGCCAAGAAGACTTTTCCTTAGAAAGCCCCATTACAGCATCATGTTTATGGGCTCCAAGTCCACAACACACTACTTACAGCATGAAATATGAGTGCACTGAAATCCTAACTGGCACTTTGCTCTGCTACTCTTCTAGCCAGATGGAATTTACGAATTGTGAGATTGATTTCCATTTCCAAGAGTGCTTAAATATGTGATGTACCTCTTTCCAATAGAGCACCACCCCTGACAATTCTGAGATCAATAGGAGCTTCCATGGTTTGATGTTTCCGTGTGAGAGGATCTGGTAACAAACAGCAGCAGCTCGAGTGGCTCCTGCTGCACGTGATGGGGGATTTAAAGCAAATGCAGATGCTGCACAACAGCTGCTACCATCACTCCACACCACCAGTGGCTGGGTGTTTGCAGGGAACCTCAGTGCCCCGCAATCAGGATCAATCAGCTGCACAGCAACAGAAAATCCACGTTATTCCTGACTATGTTTGTCTGTCAAAAGTGTTATGGAAAGCAAAAGGAACGACAGAAACTCAGCAGCTTTTGTCACGGGGTAGGCGCAGCCCACGCCGAGCCCAGCACAGCCAAGGGGTCCCGTGCCAATGTCCCCGGTGCCCCCCGAGCCCCAGCCGTGCCACGGCCCCACAGCAGAGCAGCCTCTCCCCCTGCTGCCCCTCGGCTCCGGGCGCTGATAAATCTCCCCAGCCCAGCACTAATGGGTTCCTGTGTGGTTACTCCTGGAGAGGAGCCCACAGACGGAAGGGCAGGATGCTAATTCACTGGGAATTCACCAAGGAGAGCTCATTGACTCCTTCAGCACCACGTCTCACGTTCAGCTGCTCAGCCCATCTCTGATTTTTAGCACCACTGCACTGCCAACGAGGCGAGGGAAGAGGCCCTGCAGCGCTGCAGCTCCGGCTCTGCTGGCCCTCCCGGGGCTCTGCAGCTCCTCCTGCACGCCAGCCCCAGCTCCCCACGGCCCCACAGCCACACACAGCCCCCCGAAACCCTGTGGGACTACAGCTCCACAACCACCCACCAGAATGTGCTTGTACGGGCAACAGTAAATCTTGTGCTAATTCCTGCAATCTTGGGAAAACATCCAAGCCCTTGGTGGGCCCCACGCTGCACCTGACACAGGTAGAAAAATAATCACTCTAATCTAAGTAATAAACTCTTTTTATCAAAGTCCAAAAGATAGATTTTTTTTGCTTGGAAAACAAGGATATGAATTTGCAGAAGATAATTTTTTTACTGAATCTGCCAAGACTAGAAAGTTTCTCTTCTTTCCCTCCCACCCCACAATTCAGTCCTTATCCTTTGCCAGCTCTTTAAACAGAACGGAATTAAATCACTAATTAGACAGAGGATGAAAAGAATATTCATGAATTGGACAAAGCAGAAAACAAACAAACACTAGAAATGCAAATTTATGTTAATTTTTCAATATACCTTGATGATTGCTTTGTCATTACAGGTCCATAAGGCAGAAGTCAACAATTAAGAGTTATTAGTGGAATAAATAGCTGGAGAAGGACTCTCTGAAGAACAAAGCACTTATGGACATCGTTTGACATCACTGATTCTCACTGCTTCAGAAACTGTGACCTCAACAGGCTCAGACCCTGAAATCTCCTCCCATGGGCCCAGAAAGGATGCAGGAGGGTTAGAAATACACCAGTCAAAGGCAAGGAATGAGGATAGCAAAACACACATCAGCAATACCTCCGTACAAAGACACATTTCCTCCAAGCCTGCACGAGCTGGGGGAGGCTCTGCTCTGCAGCCACGGCTGCATTTCACCCAAAGCACTGGGGAAGGGCTCAGCTGTCTGAAACCCTCCTGTGATACCCCAGCAATGATGCTGTGACCCTGGAGGGAGGCCTGAAGGGTCTACAAAGCTGCAAGAATTGCATTAGGGTTAAAAAACATCCAACACCCTTCCTGACACCCTCTGGTAACCAAAACAACTCCACAGGGGAGGTCACAAGTTGCAGCCACAGCTGGATTATCCAGATGTGGCACCGAGCTCTGCGAGGGACAGACAGAACAGGGATGTGGGCCTGGGTGTTCAGGTGGGGTTAATCCCATTCCATGCAAGGGATATTTATCCCAGAGGCACATGAGTTAGAGGCAGTGAGAGCAGCCAGTTCTGGGTGCAATCCTCACCCCACTGATGCCAGCGGAGTCACGGATGGTTCAGGCTGCCCACCATGAACCCGAGGGGGATCTCCTCAAACCAGGGCAGTACTTAAGTGGGAACAAATGATAAGACTCTTAAGGAAAAAACCAGCAGCTGTGGTCCAGCTGGCTCGCCCCATTCTCTCAGGCAGCAGCATATTCCATGATCTCTTTTCCTCCAACCCTTTATGTTCCACTGTAGGCTTGCTACTCAGCATTGCTATTAGAGGGTGACGTGGGTCCAGATGTCTTGAAAACAGAGCTGCAATTAAAGTGCAGCACACACCCACTTTTGTGTCAAACTGTGGCAACTATTCACACATCTGGATTATTTTCCCTCAAAGCCTTCTGTTTCTTTAAATTATTATCAGAGGCACAATACTAATAAAGATTTTTGCAAAAATGCTGAAAATTGAGGTGCGACTCGGGGTTGCCCAAAACCTCTTTACCAGCAACCTTATTTGGGGAAAAAAGATAAATAAATCAAAATGCAGTGTTTCCACATGGCAATGGGCTCCTCCACTGCGTCTGCACCTCATCAATCACGCATTGTCTGCCGGAGAGGCGAGCCTTGTAAATGTCACATCCACTCAGGCCCGAGGAGAGGCGAATCAAAATGCAGCGAGGAGTTTTAATTGGATAGTGTAATTAAACTAAAAAACCCCAGCAGAATAGCTTTGACAGGATAGATGAAGACCCCTTTTAATAGGGCTACAAAACAGATTTGTTAAAAGGATGAGGCAATGCGCGCTCCTGATTGCGCTCAGGAGAACTTTTATGAGCGGCTGTTGGAGGGGCTGCAGTTAATCAGCACTGCGGTGCCCGGCTGCTCGTGCCCCTGCCAGGCCTGGGGACCTCGCTGCCAGCCCTTCTCTGCAGGGACAGCGCTGCTGAGCGCTGCCCTGGCACGGCCCGAGCCCACCGGGCACAGGAGCCATCTGTGCCCGCTGCCGGCCCTGCCTGCTCAGCGTGCCCAGGGCTGGGCTCTGCCCTTCTGCTCCACACTCGCGTGCTCCTTTCACTCCTAGCCTGAAGTTTGGGAACGTTTTCTCTGCTGAACCTGTTTTTTACCTTCTGGTCAGAACCTGTGACTAGTCTCCTGTTGAGTGGGAATTTTACTGTGTTACTTCTTGCTCCGCTGCAGGAGCAGGGATATCAGGAACCATAAT